AAAGAGTGAGAAGATTGAAAGAATTTCGTGTCCTTAATTTGCTTACTTAATCTCTCTCCTGAGATTATTGAAGAAGACTCTAGTTAGTGCCAGTTGTGATGACATTTTGAAGGCAGACACTTCAGGATGCTACATTACACTAGTTCTTCCCATCTGGACCAACGATTTGTGATTTTTTTTAAAATAACTGCTAAACAACTTTGCTCCTATTGAATTTGGGCTTCCTTTATAAAATCCGTGTATTACATTCTTTCCTATTTAATTTTAAAGAAATACCTAGTATAAATGAGGCAGAAAATAGTTCTTATTTTATGTATTTATTTCCTTATTTACTTTTTGTGCGAGCCATTTTTGACCTAATTTTGAGACATGGCACATTGGAGCAAAGCTTTCCAACTTGTAAAAATTAAATCAATTAAAAAATACTTGTTATGACAGCACTTTTAACACAGAAAGGGTGCCAGTGAGATGATACTGAAACGAAACATACTTGTTTTCTAAAACCCAACTATAACAATGATAACAAAAAGATACAAGAAAGCACCAAAGATTTAAGGAAGCCCCTCTCTGCTACCCATGCAACACATTTGATGCAACACAAGTAAATGCACTAATTATATGTATTGGTAAAGGGGATGTTATATACAAATGCTGTTTTAATGGTAACATCTGGTGATTTGATGGGTAAAATAATTATCAATAAGATTATTTAAAGGCTTGTGGGTGGCCCAGGCCACAAATATGGCTTGGCAGAAAAAAATTACACTAGCAGAGTTGGACATCTTTCTTGCAGCTATGTGTCCCTCTGTTCCTGCCCTGCACCTTCTCTGATTCTTCTCCCTGCCCTTGTCTCTCACCTGCTCTTTTCCTCTCAGTTTTCTTTTCCCCCACATCTTCTCTCTCTGTACCTCTGTGTGAAATGCCTGTGCCTGCAATTCTGTGCAGTACACTCAGATTTAAATCCGTAATGGAGATATACAACTTGGATGCAATTAGTTGCACGTTTAGCTCTATTTACTATCAGTTCATCTTGATAGCTGAAAATTCGGCATGATTTAAAAAAAAATAAACTTTTGTGAGAGGTACCATGCTGAGACAGAATGGACATTAGATTAGCGACAGAAATTGTGCTCTACAAAAATTCCATAATGTATAGTGATGTTTATATGGCTGTAAACAAGGCACCATTATAGGCTTGTATGACCTGTTTTCATGCCCAGTTCTTTTTAGATGCTAGGATATATTTATAAAGCCCTAAATTTCCTCAGATAAGAACTTTCAGAGACAGAACTTAGGAAAGAACACAGAAAGGAGGAAAGTTTAGAAAGATACAGAGAGGTTGTAGGTGGAAGAAGGGCTATGTTAAGAGGGTTAGATGCAGAGATCAAGAGAAGCTGAAGCGGTGTAATTGGCAACGTCCAGAAATGTGAGCGTGGATAGGTCTGGGGGAACTAGAGCTGTGAGATTAGAAACGTCCGGTGAAACTGAGGAAGTGAGGGAAGAAGCATCCTGAAAGGTGAGAGTGGAGACATCCAGAAAGGGTGTAGAGATAAGATTAGAAACATCCTCAGAGGTCGATAAGGATAGTTCAGAGGGGCCCTGAAACATTAAATAGTTAAAATCGGTGAGATCTAGTGATTCTGAAGAGATTGAGGAGGTGTGCTCTGAGACACTTAGTGAGGATGGAGGGATTGTACGGGAAAAGTCCAAGGAAGCTGAGGAGGTGTGACTGGAAACATCTAGGGAGGGTGAAGAAGTGAGACTGGAGAGGTCTAGAGAGGGTGAAGAAGTCGAACTGGAGACATCCGGGGAGGGTATAGAGGGGACACTTGAGAGATCTAAGGAGATCGAAGAACTGTCACCAGAGAGATCCTGAGAGCCTGATGAAGTGAGGCTTGATAGGTCCAGTGAAATCGAGGAGGTGAAACTGGAGCGCTCCCAGGAATCTGAAGAGGTGAGACTGGAGAGCTCTAAGGAGATTGAAGAGGAGGTACTGGAGAAGTCCGAAGAGGCTGAAGATGTGAGACTTGAAAGGTCCAGAGAAGATGAAGTGAGACTGGAGAAGTCCACAGAGGATGAAGAGCTCAGGCTGGATAAATCCAAAGAGTCTGAAAAGGGGATTTTAAAAAGTTCCAAGGAGGCTGAAGTCTTGACACTGGAGGGGTCCAGGGAGGCCAGAAAGGTGAGACCAAGAAGGTCCAGGCAGATTGAAGAGATGACACTGAAAAGCCAAGTAAATCCACAACATGACTGGTGTTAAATCAGAAGTATTTTAAACTAAAAATCTCTAACAAAACACCAAACAACAACAACAAAAAAGAGACATAATTAGCCCAAATAATACTACTTTTGAAAATAACTAAGCATACAGTTTTAATCTTTCTGTCTCTTAGTGGTTTCTCGTTTGGTGCAGAAAAACTCTAGTAATAAGAGCTCACAGTCTTATTTAGAATATTGCTCCTTCACAGAGGACCAGTACAGAAGTGCAGGTACAGAATAATACGTACAGTAGCAGACATTCTGTCCTGGCATGTCTCTCCTTGGTCAACCAGATTTTAGCATCTGTGATGGCCTGACAAAGAATACCTTCCTGTCAAATGCCATCTCCCTGTCCTGAAGGTCTGGAATAAAATAATAGTTATGTAATAGTGTGGAAATTAAAATGGTTTTGTTGTTCTTTTCCAGATACCATAGGATATTCAGACACTAGGCTGCTTACTGGTTATGGAGAGAGATTTTAAAAAAACACAGTTGTAAATGGCAACAAGTCAAACTGGGCTTCTGACTATAAAGGTATGAGGGATTATTTCCTCTTGATTTATAACATCTAACTAAAAATGTGGATCTTCCTGATTTTGCTAACAAAAATGGCAAAGAAAACACTATTTTTCTCTGTAGCATGTGCAGGATTTATTTTTGGAAGCTAGCAGTATGCTAAACTGATTGAGTCAATGAGAAATACACATTTTAGCAACGTCCGTTCTACTTGTTTTTCAGATAAAAAGAGGTCTTATTTTGTTACTTTTATTTTGTACCTCTGGACATAAAACCTGTACTGTAGTAACAGTAATTTTTTATTTGTCCTTATTTTGAATTGTTTAATAAAAATATTCTAAAGAGTCGATCTGATAGAAGGCAGACATCTAATTAAAAAGGGAACAGAACAGCTTATATTTCAGTTCGTAAAGGTGCGTCTAATTATAGTATGAGTAGGTCAAGAGGCTGATCTACAGCTGCCTTCTCTCATCTCAAGACTGTGCTG